CAATGGAAACACGCAATTAGATACTGCAAACGTAAGCGAAGAAATAATATTCATGTTTCTGCAGAAGATAGGTTATACCTATCTTCTATCTAAAATATCTATACCTATCTATCTATCTAAAATATGTTATACCCGAGTTATATTCCTGCGAACATTCCTTACTTTTGCAATTCCTGTATTCCCAAGACCTCTTTCACGACATTGTGGTGCGAGGCGGAGGAGCACTGGACGAGACTCCTGCGCGGGTAGTAGAACAGGAAGGCCTGGCACATCTCGTCCCGCGAGCCGTAGCCGGAGAAGGTGGCGTTCTGGCGGCTGCTGCTGTCGAAGGTGCATTCTGGAAGTGAAACGGGAGGAATCAGCGGAAGAAAATACGATTTATTTTCACAGTAAGGATGTTTTAATGAATGCTTTTATAACTGTATTCACGAATACCGTTGGAGGCTTTACCTGTGGTGATGTGGTCGCTCGGGAGGATGGTTCGCTCCTCCTGCAGCCTCAGGATCTGTTGGAAGTTGAAGTCGTAGTAGTCGTCCACCGCGAGAGGAGGGAGTTCCTTGCCATCCCGGAAGTGTCGCACTCGGATGCTGCGTCCTGAGGGAGAAAATCATGGTATTAAACCACTCATTAGGAGAGTCACGGTCGAGACGCGTCATTGCTTCGAACAGTTTCGAATCCCCCCAGAATAAGACTCTTTTGACTTCTCGTTGCGTTTTTATTAGTATTATTCTTTGTTGAATCTCTTAACCCTATGTAAATCACTAATGCATCCCACACATAATTCTATACAAAGAAATATCTCAGCTATCAACGCTTAAGAGAGTTCGAAGCTTCACCCACGTTCGCCATATCCAACGAGACACCAAACACACACACACACCAAACAATCGACCAACCAATACCACAAAATTCACTCAAGAACAACGTACCGATGATATAGCGTGGGGGAGGATCTGGTACACCTTGATACCAGACTCAGGCATCCCCTCCACCAGGCAGCCGGCGGGACAGTGGCCGGTAGCGCTCCACTGGGCCTGCGCGGGAGGGATCACCATGCCGAAGTTCAAGGAGCTGCCCACCATGAGCGAACCCGACTCGAACTCTCTGGGGGTGAAGCGTTGGTTAGTCGTGGAGCGGTATAAGTCGTTATTAATCAGGAAAAATTAGGGGTCGTAAAGAATTAAAGTCATGAACAAATGAAGAACTGTTACACATGAAGAATTATTAGTTGAGAATCATAAGACACAAAGAATTATTAGTTGAGAATCATGAGACATAAAGAATTATTAGTTGAGAATCATAAGACATAAAGAATTATTAGTTGAGAATCATAAATTATGAATGATAATACCATGAAGAATCATGAGGAATTATTTATTATGAATGATTATGTCACGAAGAATCACGAGGAATTATAAATTATGCAGCATTTTAAACCAATACAGATCACGAAACATTAGCACAAACAGCCTCAGCAGAAGATTAGGCCTCCAATCCCTAACTCTAACCCAAAATCCCCTCAATAAGAAGTCTCGAAATGGTTCTCTTTACCTCAGTTCCTCCGTGTAATACACATCGATCCCCCACTCCACGACGGCATTGTCCACCAGCGCAGGGTTGTCGTAGTGAGCCTCGACCATGAAGAAGGCGTGTTCTCCCGGGGCAGACACCAGGGGCATTCCCACGTGGACTGGCTCGCGTTCGCCCTGGTTGGGGAGACGAGGCGTTACGACAGGTACGAAAGGATGTATTGTGGGTATTCATTATTCGTTATTTCGTGGATCTTCGTTGCATAAATTGGGTGACAGTCATGAAGGAATATCGAGGAGAGATCACCAGAAGACTTAAAAAATGGTATAGTTAGACGTGTTCAGACACTACGTAATCTCTTGGATAAAAGTAAGACTCATACCTCAATTCCCGAACTCCAGACGATGGTTGGATGGTCGCATTTTGCATAGTCTGGTGGCATGTTCGGCGAAAGGCACTCATGGCCCTCCTGTGAGGCGTAGTGCATGAGGCGCTCTCTCTCCTGGCTGTATGCGGCGGAGTTGGCGTCTCCGGTGCACTCCCAGATGACCACGTGATGGAGGTGTGTGCGGGAGTTCTTTCCGTGCTGGATGTTAAACTAGAAAGGAAGATATGGGTGAAGGTTGATATACGAAGCATGGGAGTAGCTTTTAAAAAAACACGAGATCCCAATCGTTCTATATCACTCTCCTTGCTGAAATCGATTATCGTCAGTGTGATGCAAATACACCCTAAATTACTGATCAACTAATTCACACTTAACTCGCTACAGTCATCCTAAAACCCCCTGAGAACCACTGGTATTCGCAATCCTTCTTCTAATTCTCCATTCCCTTAATCCGTAGTATTCACAATCCTTCTAATTCTTCACTCCCTTAATCCCTAGCACGAATCGCATGTATTCGCATCAATTCCATACATACCAAAACAAACCACGGTTACTCACCCCGACGTAATGGACTTGGGACTCCTTGTGCGGGAACGTGGCGATGTTGCACCAGTACACCGTGTCCCGGTCGCTGCTGAGGGTATGTTTCTGGATGATCGTCCACTTCTTGGCGTCCTCTGGCATCTCCATGACCTCGCTTTGGGGTTCCAGGAGGACGAGGTACCGTGACCCGCTTTTGGAAGACCCGTGGTACTGGAGGGCCGTTTCGTTGGCTGGGTCTTCGTCTGCGTAGGCGTAGATCACCCTCTTGGTCGTGTTCTGGAGATTGGAAAAGAAAGGTGGATGACTTGATATATCGATACAGTACGTCATGATAAAAATTGCTTAACACATCGATAAAGAACGTGAAAGTAAAGTTAATATATCGATATAGATTACTTAACAATATCGATACTTAACAAATCGATATAGATTACTTAACAATATCGATACTTATCAAATCGATATAGATTTACTTCATAAAACTGATTGAATACACCTTGACATAGAAAATATTGCTCAACAACGAGAATACAAATTTAATAGATAATAAAGTTAATTTCTTTTACCATGAAGGGCATGTCCTTGTCGTCGCAGGTGCTGAGGTCTCGCACGACGACCATCACCGTGTGTGTCTCGTTCTCGCTGGCTCTCAACAGCCTCCAGTCCTGCTGCTCGTCCATCTCTGGCTTGACGTTCCCGGTGCCGTGGCGATCCTGCGAGCGAGGAAAAGGGGAAAAAAAGGGAGGATTTAGATCTGGAATTCTTCTTCCTCGAGGCTTTGACGGATCTTCGAATCTTGTTAAGGTCTCGGCATTCTCCTTTCATATGATTTTCAGATATAATGAATGGGATTTATTCGCTTCAGATATAATGAATCTGATGACTTATTCGCTACCTACCTACCTTGACAAGTCTTTATATTTTCAGATTCGGAATTTCCCCCTCATACATCATTTTATCCCTTTTCGCAGATATTACGAATAAAAAAAAAACTCACGTACCTGAATGTGACCAACTCCGTCCTCGTCAACCCAGCCCGTCAGGATATCCGCGCCGTCCATCGCGCCGTTGGGAGACACTCCGAAGCCGACCCATCCTAAGGTCTCCACAGACAACTCCAGCGTGATCTCCTGCAAGACAAAAGACAGATATTATACACCTTATCCCTCAGGTGTGAATTCCAGGAGGACAAGATAGATATTATACACCTTATCCCTCAGATGTGAATTCCAGGAGGACAAGACATATGATATATATTTTCCTGGAGGACAAGGCAGATATTATACACCTTATCCCTCAGATGTGAGTTCCAGGAGGACAAGACATATGATATACACCTTATCCCAGATTTGAATGCCAGGAGGACAAGACAGATATTATACACCTTATCCCTCAGGTGTGAATTCCAGGAGGAAAAGAAAGATATTATACACCTTATCCCTCAGGTGTGATTTCCTGGAGGACAAGACATATGATATACACCTTATCCCTCAGGTGTGATTTCCAGGAGGACAAGACAGATATTATATACGTTATCCCTCTGCGTGAATTCCTGGAGGACAAGACATAATATACACCTTATCCCTCAGGTGTGATTTCCTGGAGGACAAGCCAGATTATTATACACATTATCCCTCTAGCACATGCGTAAAATTGTGTGTAAAATCAGCATATAAAAATACACATTTCTTACACATATTCCCAATGTTTTAGAAGCTCTCACCTGTCTCTCGATGTCCACTGCCCAGGAGAGGTGGAACTTGCCCTCGTCGTCCACAATGGCCGAGTGGGGAAGGCGGATAAACAGAGCCTCTTCGTCCGTCTCCCCCGACGACGTCTTGGCCGCCTCGTGTTCCTGTCGCTTCTCCAGGTAGGTCGCGTTGGCCGTGGGAGCCTCTTCGCCAAGGCAGGTCCCGCATGCCGTCAGGAGGAGCAGCACCCCGGCACACCACGACTTAAACGAGAGATACAGTTGGTTAATAGATGGGTAATAGACTGTAAGTATGATATGCAATCCGGTATTTAGATCAGTAGACTATAAAAGGCAATACTCTGATACAGTAAAAAAAAGTATACTGATTAACCCGAAAACCTAACGCAATGTATGATTAATCAACTTAATTCAGTAGAGAATTTTCCCACCATATATAGGAATTTTAATCCAGTCACACAAATCAACGAACCTAATTTAGTAGAGAATTTTCCCACCATAATAGGAATTTTAATCCAGTCACAAATATTATGTCTACATACACACTCAGGAAATGTAAATAACACAAATACGCACAAAGATCACACCGCAAATCGAAAAAAATAAAGAAATGAAAAATAATAACACTTTTCACCACATAACGAAACACGAGCACTTAACCCCTCACCATCGACATCTTGACCAACAACAAAGACTTTCTTGACCCCCCAAAAAATACACACAGCCACGGGGGAGTGAGAGTGAGAGTGAGAGACGAGGAGGGAGGGAGGGAGGAGGACAGAGAGAGGGAGAGATGTTGCCTCGACCACCAACACTAGGACACTGTGC